TGTGCTGTTTTGGTCAGTCTCCTCTTCTCATCTGCCATCTCTGTCCTGCCTGCTATTGAAGACCTTAAAAGCCTCCTCTGCCAAGGTCAACAGCAGGGTCTGGGGTCTGGCCTCCAAATTTTCTGTAATTTCCTTCTAATGTCCGGAGCTGGCTGAAGGATAAAATGCACGGCACGCGATGCCTCCCCTCTGCTGCCCCCAGGTCTGCATGGGTGCATTTCTCAAGCGCTTCAGGGATTCTATTGAGGAAGACTACTGGGATGTCCTCCTTTCTCTGGGTACTTTTCTTGACCCTGTCATAGTGTACAGGTTTGACTATACATTTCCTTCTTCCTTCAGTCAGGCAGGTGACAGAGTGGCTTATTCTAGCTTTATCTAGGTTTTCTCCATAGTCTCACTCGCATGGAGACTGTACCTGGGACCGCATCTCGCCCTACACGGATGACTGCATATTGGTGTTTAGTGACTACCTAGATATTGGCATATTCTTTAGCCTTTTCAAATATGTGTTACTTTTCATCAATACTGCAAAGTGACCATAACATCCTGCCACATCAATGAAAAGGCGAAATTTAGTCTAACAAATTCATCTCTAAACTTACCAGGATCCTCTGAAGATCTACCAAAGTGTTCTTTACATAGTCCTAGATCCACCACCAAAAAAGGAACGTGCACCCTTGTCCCTCCCCTGTTTCCATCCATTTCTCTGAGGGGAAAACAGCCCTGGGCCAGTGGGGAAGCAAAAGAGGGTGCCTGTTTGGAGTCCGATTAGAGCCCTACTGGGGACAGCACAGGGGTCCCCTCCCCAGGAGGCCTGCTTAGGATGGGGAGGGAATTCTGGGGGCCTCAGGCTGTGGAGGTCCACTTCCTCAAGTTCCTTCAGGAGGAACCTGGAAATAGGGGCCACACACACCTGACAAGAATCCAGTAGCTTTGGGTCCTAGCATAACTTCATAAAAGCTTATATCTAGGTATCTCTCCCCATTTCTCTGTCCATTCACAGAATAGATCCGGCTGTAAGATAGTGTTAAAACTAGGAGATCCACTTCCACCCATGGCCATTTTTCTTGATCTAATGTGTACTAGGGCAGGTTGTATTACAGAGGAAAATCAGTTTCTTTTTCTTTTTTTTAATTTATTTTTTTTGAGACAGGGTCTCACTCCATTGCCCAGACTGGAGTGCTATGGTGCGACCACAACTCACCGCAGCCTCAACCTCCTGGGCTTAAGCGATCCTTGCCTTAGCCTTCCGAGTAGCTGGAACCACAGGCAGGCACCCCCACACCTGGCTCCTTTTTCCTGTTTTTTGTGGAGGTGGAGTTTTTCTGTGTTTCCCAGGCTGGAGTTTCTTTTTCTTTAAGCCATCGGATTTGGATTCCTTCCATTTAGAAATGATACATCCCAGACGTGAGTCTTGGAAGATGCCCGGGGCATTGCCCATGACTGTAGCCCCTGTGTCTGCTTGTCTTAGTAAAGGGCCAGGGGCAGGGTGCAAGCACAGGTGTCAGGCGACAAGAGAGTTGGCTCCCAGCCCCGCACAGCACAACAATACAGGTCACACGAGAGGGCAGGTGTGGCCAGTGAAGAGAACTTCTCCCCAAAACGGAGTGCTAGCTTGGATGGTTTCTTTTTATTCTTCAGCCTTACACGAGGTCCGGGTTCTGCTGACCAGTGTCCTGCATTTGGTAGTAACCGAATGACAGTCAATAAGATGTTGAATGAAACACACAAAAAGAAAAACAGATCAGGGCATGAGCTAGGCAAACCCCAGCGCCATGTGCTGTCAATTCTCCCCACACAAAGGCAGCACCCAGAGTCCGTAGGCTCGAACACTGAACAGACAGAGAAGAGCTCACAGGCTTCCATTCCCACCAGGTGTGGCAGAGGGAGGGAAAGCACTGAAAGACTTGAAGATGACAGAGGCCGAAGCCAGGGTGCCTGATAGTTCCTGCCAGCTGCGTCAGTCCATCCTGCCCGGGTGTCTATTCAGGTTGAGCCAATGAAGTTAAAAGTGAAGGAAGGAAAGCAGAAAGGAAGAAGGACAAAGGCAACAAATAGGGGATTCGAGGGAAGGGAAAGCGTTGTCTGGGGCGGGGGTGGCGAGGAGTCCCTCGGAGACCAGAGGAAAACTCACCAGTCGTGGTGGCAGTGCTGAATCAGTGGGGCCTCCCTCTGGCCCACTGGCTCATAAGCCTCCCCTGCGGGGCGGGTAGTTGCTCCTTGTGCTCCTGCCTGGCTCACCGGATAATCTGTTATGGCACCAAGCAGATTTCCCAGACAAGGCTTTTAGTTGGGGGCTTGTGCTTGAGTGCACAGGGGGACAGCAGAGGCTCGAGGGCTCAGCGACTGGCTCCCTGGAAGAGCCGGGAGAGACATTTTATTAGCGAAGCCTGGTAACTGACATCAGGAGAGGGCATGTAGGCTGGGCAGGGCAAAACATGTGAGGGGTAGGGGATGCGGGTCAGTGTATCTAGTGGCTGATGGTTATCTTGGTTAATGGACCACCTGGTAGGCTGGACAGAGGCAACAAGGTTGTAATCAAGCTTGTTCAACCCCAGGCCTGCCGGCCGGTGACATGCAGCCATGTGACTTGCGGCCCAGGACTACTTTGAATGCAGCCCAACACAATTACGTAACATTTCTTAAAACATTATGAGATTCTTTTATGACTTATTTTTTTTAAAGCTCGTCAGCTATTGTTAGTGTTCGTGTATTTGTGGCCCAAGACAGTTCTTCCAGTGTGGCCCAGGGAAGCCAAAAGATTGGACATCCCTGCTGTAAATCAGTTTTTCAGTGTTCCTTCGTAGAGTGAGACACTGCCACCTTGGTTTGACATTTAGATTTCCTAAGGCTAGTTCCTGGGATTCTTTAAATAGGTCTGGTTAAACATGAAGAAGGAGCCATATCCCATTCCTGTTCTTTTTCATTATGACTCTCCAGCCATTAATGTAGTTTCCTGGAACATTTAAAAAGCGACCCCATATTTTCATAATCTGAATTTGTGTGTCTTTTGTTTACTACTTTATTCCAAGGGCATGTAGAAAGTTACCAGGCCTTGGCTGGGCACAGGGGCTCACACCTGTAATCCCAGCACTTTGGAAGGCCAAGGCTGGTGGGTTGCTTGAACCTGGGAGTTCGAGACCAGCCCGGGCAACATGGCGAAACCTCGTCTCTACTAAATATACAAAAATTAGCCAGGCATGGTAGGTGCATCTGTAGTCTCAGTTACTTGGGAGGCTGAAATAGAAGGATCACTTGAGCCCAGGAGGTTGAGGCTACAGTGAGTCATGATCACACCACTGCAGTCTAGCCTGGGTGACGACAGAGCAAGACTCTGTCTCAAAAAAAAAAAAGTAAGTTACCTGTCCCAGAATAGATGTACAGTAAGTGGTTTTTTTGTGTATGTGACTGAATTAATGGAAGACTGAAGTTAGTTATTACATATGAGATGTTATGGGCGCCATTCCGAGTCTAGTATCAGGGAGTTTACGGAGTTGCAGATGACAGGTTTACTAATGTGTGCTGAGAGCTTTCACAGCCTAGTACCATGTTAAGTGCTTCACTTGGATTGTTTCATTCAGTCCTCACAAGACACTCATGAATTAAGTGCTGCTGTTATCCCCTTTTTGCAGATAAGGAAACTGAGGCTTAAAGAAGTTAATTTGCCCAAAGTCTTCTATCTAGGAAAGGGTGGAGCTGAGATTCAAACTGTGACTTCAAGCTCAAGATCAAGGAATCTTAATTGTTGGTTTTTTTTTTTTTGAGACAGAGTTTTGTTCTTGTTGCCCAGGCTGGAGTACAATCTCGGCTCACTGCAACCTCCACCTCCTGGGTTCATGCGATTCTCCTGCCTCAGCCTCCCTAGTAGCTGGGATTACAGACATGTGCCACCATGCCTGGCTAATTTTGTATTTTTAGTAGAGATGGGATTTCTCCATTTTGGTTGGGCTGGTCTCGAACTCCCGACCTCAGGTGATCTGCCCGCCTCAGCCTCCCAAAGTGCTGGGATTATAGGCGTGAGCCACTGTGCCCGGCCCGCATCTTAATAGTTTTAACTACAGTCCCTCCCCATCCCCCCTTTTAACTTAGTCATTTAAATAAAACCCTAATTCTTATATTAAAATGTGTGTAAAATGTGAGTAAAATGAGAAAAAAATGTGAGTAAACGTTAAGTGTTTCAGCTATCCTTTAGAAAAGTCTGATCCTTACAAATTGGAAATAACTTTCAGGCTATATTTTTTTCTGGATCCATGAAAATAATGGATCAGGCCTCTATGTGCCTCCTGATTTTACCTTTTCTTTTATATTTAATATATTTAATTTTATATTAAATATGCTTTTTAAGTGATACATGGCAATTCTGATGCTCTGGGAACTGGAAAGTACTGGCTGGTTAGAACTCTGAGTGGAATAAGAGTAACTGGCTCTTGGTTAAGTCCAGAGGTGGTTTCCTGGGATAGAAAGTGTGTTGGTGTTTGGTTATGGTTGTTGCGATATTGATGCATATCTGATTTCTGATTTTTTGCCTTTTCTGGATTGGGGGAGTTACCACATAAATGTTACTGAACTTTAAGTTTGTGTAAGAGTCAATTCTTCTGGCTACCTCTGACAAATAACAGATAACTTTTAAAATTTGATTGAGAATAGGCAGCAAACTAGAGATGGCCCAAAAAACCACTGGAATGTTTGAAAAATTCTTGTTAGGCTATCTTTAGCTATTTCTAAGTCTAAATACTTCATGATCAGTTTGTGATTTGGACATCAGATGCCAAGTGTAATGCTTAGCCAATGTCACCTGAGACCTGTGTCCACTGAAGTTTTACTGTATGTCAAAAGTGATTAAACTGAAGCCCTTTTTAGAGGGGCCCCTGCTTTGAACAATAGCAAATATATATTTGCCATTTTGCTAGTGAGTGTTTGCATTTGTGCAGTAAATGAGCTCATGAGTAAATTGAAGAGCAAATAGACTCATCTTTCTCCTCTTTCCCATCTTCCCATAGATGCAAGCCTCCCCTATCCAGCCCCATTCTAGAACTGCATTCAGAGGACACACTTCAGATGGGCAAGTATCAAGCTAATGCAAAATTGACTGTATCAGTATTTTTGCTTCCCACCCCTTTTTTGAAGATGGGGTTTGTGGTGTGTGTGTGTGTGTGTGTGTGTGGTGGTATACAATGTATTGTCAACTGAAGAATGACGAGGTTCATAAATTTGGAAAGGAGAGCTTGCTTTCTCAGAGAGGGTTGCAGCCTGCAGGGAGGCCATTCTAACAGGCTGGGAAGCACAGCTTCCTGCCAGAAGCCAACAACAGATACTTTGAAGGGGGGGCAAAAGGAGTAGGAATTTATGCTCAGCCGGGTGGGCGAACATACATATTTAATGAGCTATAGGAGGAGTCATGAATATTTATGAAGGGACAACTGTGTGCATGTGCGGTTGAGCTTCACACCCCATCATAGGTCCCATGTACAAAAAAATGGCAGTGTTAGCATGATCCAAGGGTGGAGGTTTTGGCCCTCTGACATCAAAAGGTGAGGCAGAGGACACAAAAACCCGCATCTTTCGGACACTGGCCAGAACCACTCCCTGTTCTGTGGTCTCTTATCAGGAAGGAATGCTGGTTGACTGTTTTGAAGTGGCCAAAGAGAGGGGCAGCAGTCAGGCAGCTGGGTTGGATAATAGCAGCAGTAGAGTCTTCTGAAAGGGCTGGTTGCTGTTTAGCCCTTAGGGAAGAACGCCTCCAGGCAGTTAGTAAGCAAGGGGTTTAAAGGAGGCATCTTACCTTCCATCCCCACGTGGCCAAGAACTCAGTTTTCAAGGTCGCTCTGGGATCCTCTTGGTTCAGGTGGCTGGGGGGCTTAGAATTTTATTTTTAGTCTACAGTAGACTTTTGCTGATACATTTACATTTGTGTTGGGGTTACCACGAAGGAATTTTCAACGACTTTCTGTATGACTCTTCTTAGATGTCCTTAGGTCTCTGATCTTCAGTCTTTCTGTAAAGACCTTGAGTTAGTTGCCAACATTTCAAAAATAAACTTCTCATGAAAAATCTCGATTTCTAACTTTCCTTGGAAAATCAGAAGACGCGGTAACATTAGGCCATGATTTCCACAAGGGAACAATTAAATAGTGTCTGCCTCAGTTACAGGAGTTGCCGTCTTCCAATTCTGTCCCCACCACTCTCTGGTATCTTACACTTGACCTGTTTCACTCAATTCTGTTACCTGCTTGGCCCTGGCAGTCAATTTTCCCTGTTTTTTCCCTCAACTTTTAATTATGATTGTGTCTTAACAATGGTTTTCCTATTTGTGAGCCTTTCAAATTATGGGTAAATCTCTACCACAATCTTCCGTTATTTTCACTTTTGTCTGAGAGAAGTTAAAGGGGTTTATTAGTAATTCAGATCAGAGAACGTGCAGAGAGGACAGCCCTCACCAGTGGTCAGCACAGGTAATACTGTGGGCATCAGGTGACCAGATGAGCCACGTCCTTTTATTACAACAAGTAGGGACATGAGAGGAGGGAAAGTGTTCTCTGAGGCGGGGGTGGCAAGGAGTCTAGGCTTTTTCTAGCCTGCTCCTCCAGATTCTTCCAGCCTCTACCCATTACCCAGTTCCAAATCTGCTTCCACATTTTCAGGTACTTGCAGCCACAGCCCCTCTTCTCAGCTTCTCAGTACCAGTTTTCTGGTTTAGCTTATTTTGTGCTTCTATAACAGAATACCTCGGACTGGGTACTTTATAAAAAGAACAGAGACTTAGTACAGTTCTGGGAAGTTTGAGGTTGAGGGGCCCACATCTGGCCAGGACCTTCTTGCCGTGTCATCCCATGGAGGAAGGTAGAAAGGCAAGAGAGCATGACTGTGTGAGAGAGAGGTGAAGGAGTGCAAACTCAGAACTCACTCACAATCCCAAGGTAGTGTTATTAATTCATTCTTTGGGACTGAATCACCTCTTAAAGGTCCTACCTTTCAACACTGTTGCATGAGGGATTAAGTTTCTAACACACAAATTTTGGAGGGACACATTCAAACCATAGCACCTGAACACTGGGTATTGTGATTTAAAATTTTTTCTACCAGTCTGGCTGGGCCTGGTGGCTCATGCCTGTAATCCCAGCACATTGGGAGGCCGAGGCAGGTGGATCACCTGAGGTCAGGAGTTTGAGACCAACGTGGCCAACATGGTGAAACCCCATCTCTACTAAAAATACAAAAATAGCTGGGTGTGGTGGCGGGTGCCTGTAATCCCAGCTATTTGGTAAGCTGAGGCAGGAGAATTGCTTGAACCTGGGAGGCGGAGGTTGCAGTGAGCTGAGATCATGTTGCTGCACTCCAGACTGAGTGACAGAGTAAGATGAGAGTCTATCCAAAAGGAAAAATTTCTACCAGTCTGGTAGGCCAAAATGATGCCCTATTATTTTATTTTATTTTATTTATTTTTATTTATTTATTTATTTATTTTATTGTTTATCTTTATTTTATTTATTTTATTTTATTATTTTATTTATTTTTTTGAGATGGAGTCTCCCTCTGTCACCCAGGCTGGAGTGCTGTGGCTTGATCTTGGCTCACTGCAACCTCTGCCTCCCAGGTTCAAGCAATTCTCCTGCCTCAGCCTCCCGAGCAGCTGGGATTACAGGCACGCGCCACACACTCGGCTAATTTTTTTTGTATTTTTAGCAGAGATGGGGTTTCAGCATCTTGGTCAGGCTGGTCTCGAACTCCTAACCTTGTGATCCTCCTGCCTCGGCCTCCCAAAGTCCTGGGATTACAGGCATGAGCCACCATGCCCCACCGATGCCCTGTTATTTTTAAAAAATGTAGGTAACTTTGAATGCTAGTGAGATGGAGCATCTTTCCTTTGTTTTATTGGATGTCAGGACCTCTTGTAAAGTTTTTCATTTCCTTTTAACATTAGTTTGTAATTTCTTTCCTTTTCAGTTTATAGGAACCCTTCATAACACATAGATGTGTTCTTTGATAAAGGTCGGTTGTCAACTTTTTTTTAATTGAACTTTTTTCTCGTTCTTTTACTTATCTTTTAACTTTGTGTCTCGTCGGTAAATTTTTTACTCTGGTTCTTTATAGTTTTTTATTTTGCCATCATGCTGGGAAAGGAGAATTTGAATAAAAATGTGAATGAAAATTTGGGCAAACTGATAGGTGATCTTAAAACTGACAAAAATATTTGTTTAAAAATGGCCTTGTTTTATCAAACCTACAAGGCTGTGACAGTAAGAATCACCATTATTTATTTATCAGTAAGAAAGGAAAAGTACTGACACTTAAGCCGACACATCACCAACTGTTAGATGTATCCTGATTTCAGGAATGTTAAAATGTGAAAGGATGCATCTTAGAATTGATGATGTATTTTTTTAAGCTAAAATCTGCTTAGGGTAAAAAATCAAAAGTGTACAAATGGACACACAATGAAAAGTCAGAAGGTGTTTTTTAAAAAGGAAGGCCGAATATGGTGTCTCACACCTGTAATCCCAGTGCTTCAGGAGGCTGAGGCAGGAGCATTGCTGAGGGCACCTAGTGAGACCCTGTCACAAAAACATTAAAAAAATTAGCTGGGCATGGTGGTGCACGCCTATAGTCCTAGCTACTTGGGAGGCTGAGGTGGGAGGTTACCTTTAGCCCAGAAGTTGGAGGCTGCAGAGAACTATGATCGCACCACAGCACTTCATCCTGGGTGACAGAGTGAGACCCTTTCTCTCAAAAGAGTGAAAAAGGGAAATTGGGTTCTGTTACCCCCTTGCTTAAAACTCCCTACCGGGCAGGACCCATGTTGTTCATCAGGCCTCTATGTGCCTCCTGATTTCCCTCCCTCCCTCCCTCCCTCCCTCCCTCCCTCCCGCCCTTCCTTCCTTCCTTCCTTCCTTCCTTCCTCCCTTCCTCTATCTCTCTCTTTCTTTCTCTCTGTCTCCTTCCTTCCTTCCTTCCTTCATGCCTGCCTGCCTGCCTGCCTGCCTTCCTTACTGCCTTCCTTCCTACCTTTCTTCCTTCCTTTTTGAGACAAGGTCTCACTCTGTTTTTGCTCAGGCTGGAGGACAGTGGTGCAATCGGTCACAGCTTACTGCAGCCTTGAACTCCTGGGCTCAAGTGATCCTCCTGCCTTAGTCTCCCTAGTAGCTGGGATTACAGCTGTGTGCTGCCACACCCAGCTGATTTTTATTTTTATTTTTTGGAGAAGGTCTTGCTGTGTTGCTCAGGTTGGTCTCGAACTCCTGGGGTCAAATGATCCTCCCACCTCGACTTCTCAATGTTGGGATTACAGGCGTGAGCCCCTGCACCTGCTCCTGATTTTCCCTTTGACCACAGTAACTATGATCTAGCCACACAGATACCTTGCTGTTCTGTGACTGTGCCAAGCATGTTCTTTCCCTCAGTCCTTTTCATTTCCTCTCTCTTTGCTGGATGGGCTCCTTCTCATCAGCTCAGCTGCCACTTCCTCAGAGGCGCCCTCCCTGACTACTAGGTTAAAGACAGACCCTCTCCCTGCTGCCTAATTTCACACTCTTCTCTTTCAGTTTCCTTGTGGTACTAAGTGCTCCGTGATATCATCTTGATTTATTTAATGATTCACTTTCTCTCTCTTCTACCATATAAGCTTCCTGAGAACAGGGACTGCTTCTGTCTTGTTCGCCACTGTAACCCCTGCGCCAAGAGCAGTATCTAGCGTAGTGTTGAATGAATACTCACGTGACTGCTTGAATGGATAAATGTTTGTGTTTTTGTAATCCACTTCAACTCTGGTGAAATTAGGTAGGCGGAAAGAGAAAAGAAGAGCAAGTGGAAAGCATTTCAGAGTGCGAACAGGATTTCAGCTGCGCCCTGGCAAGGCCCTAGGTAGGGAACAGATGATCTCAGCCGGGACTCACTGAAGGAAGAGCTGGAAAGGCCAGTGTGGCTGGGGCTCGCGTGGCAGGAGGTGCATGCTTCATGATTGAGAAAGATCGTAAAGCCGGCTGAGAATTTTGGACTCCATTCTAAAGGGAGTCGGAAGCCTGTTAGGCATGCCCCACAACACCCTGAACTTCTCTGTAGCCGCTT